CGTACTTATCGAACTAAGTAATCTACGCTCACGTATCAAAGTATCAGGCGTGTAATCTAATTAAAGCGTTCTATCCGGCGACTTTAGCAGCGTAACTTGGAAGATCACGATGGATCCTCGAGCCTCCACAAAAATTTCCTTTCCAAAATTCCTTTTCTTTACGAAATCGATAGAATAATCAACAAGTTGAACTGTAATGTAAGGTGCGCAGCGTTTCGCTCGCAGAAAACGTGACACATGTAATCTGTAAACATCTTGCTGTCTCGTCACGCAGCAAAGAAAACATCCGCGTTAAAGTTATGACTCCTAGAGGACAAGAGATTTTTATGTGTTTGGGTGCTCTATTATGCGAACAATTTTTGCCGATTCGCGAGTGGAGTTGCCAAGATATCCTCATGGAAATATTTTTTTCTCAGTGCATTCAGCAGCAGTGAAGTGTTAGTCAAAAATGGTGCCATTCGGAGTAAACGTTCTTTTCTTAACTCAAGAAAAAAATTTGGGGGAGCTCTGTTGTTGTTTCACAAAAGCCCTTTAAAACTGAACAAGTTGGAAAAATCGTAATTCTCTTTTAAAAAGCCACACCAACCCGTATTATACCGTTAATTTCAAGTCGTTTTATCAGTATTTCCTTCAAGCTCTGACGCCGGCACCCACTTTGACATTGAAACTACCAGTTATTCTATTATTTCGACTATTGTCCGAGCAGTCAACAAAAGGAAGTAAAAAACAATGTCAATTAGAAAGTGCCGTACACGCTCGTCACCTCGTTCTCCAATATGACATTTTAGAACTAGAATAATTCCAGAACTTAAAAATGGTTTAGGCTACAGTGACAATCTTGAGATGTTTGTTGATTCCTCTTTCGTGGAATCAACAAACATCTCAGCAGGTTTCAGAGCGTGACGTGGCACCAAGATGGTTAAAGATTACATGTGTCACCAAGATGGTTAAAGATTACATGTGTCACGGTGGGCGCTTTCCATTTGACATAAATTTTCGAGATTTCCGGTCAGAAATCGAATGCAACGGGAAAATTTCCGCGATAAGTTTTCGAAAATTTAGGAATACATTTTGAGTGTACCCTCTTAGATACGGTCGCAATCGTTCCATTCGGCCAGTGAAAATACCGACATTTTGAACCCGTGATTTTTGTTGAATGGAAAGCGACCCTTTTCACCTAAAACCTGTCAATAAAACACCTTCATGTCAACAATATTTTATCATAAAGGTAAAACAAACATGACTTAGCAAACATAGCCGTGTCAATTTTCGAATCCCGAAAAATCCAAAAGCGCGCCATCCTAGATATAAGCTGATCGGTTTTGCCCCTTTTTCAACTCCAAATCGCGAAATCCGATTCTAAGAAGGCACAATCGAAAGAATGTAATTATTTTGCGTCGATACAGCCCATAAAAGGGCTCTAACGAGCGAATTGCTAATGGTAAGTTTACCCCACTAGGATAAACTTTACCCGGCGGTAAACTGATACAAACAAAGCACTCTGATTGGTCAATTCGGGTAAAAATTGCCCTCATCTGGTAAATGTTTTTAGTGCATATTGTTTTTCATAAGGGCACAATGTTTTCGGCATGTGTTACTCTGTAACTTTTTTGAGCAGTTAAGTCGCATACTGTATTTCCTATATACCTTGACTTGTCCACCTTCCATGTAGTCCGTCCAAGTTGTCCCATCCGTGGATATTTGTAGTGTATAGTTCTTCACCCACTGATCTGCTTGAGAATTCCCTTGAGTGGACACAGCACAGACGATATGAAGTGTCTGTAGATCAATCTGTAGATATGGGCTAGTGTCATTTGTTTCTGCACACCATGGTGCTCCTAATTCATAGTTTAGTCGACCATTCCCGGCTGGTGTGCTGGAAGAAGAAGCAGTTATCCTACTGTCTGAAATGTTTCCACTCTCCATTCCAAGATCATACTGAACACAACCTAAAAAATTAATAAAAATCTGTTCGAAATTTTACATATAACCAGGAAACAGACCCATGGCTTTGAACGGGGGCTCACGGCTGTTTTCCAAAGCATTTGCAGCTATGGGAGCCGTAATTTATTTAGAGGACCTTACAGGGACACCGTGGAAGCCCCATGTGCTAGGCTTCCATTATTTGTAGCAGGGCAGCCATTAACAAATAAAAATTTTACGTTGACCCAACAGAGAAGCCTCTTAGACTTGCCTCGCTCTCAATGTGTGGCTTCATAGCCCAGTTATGAAAGGCACGGTTTTGAATTCTATTGAAGCCTGAACTTTTTCTAGCTTTCTTTCTTCAATTGTAAACAAGATCATTTCTCTCTTTAATTTCATTCGCAGGTCCACTGAAATTTCTTCCATTCAAAATTGTGATAATGTTTTTCGCTTCCTCCTTCATCTAGCACATACCATCTCCCTGTGTTCTCTCACCCTTAACAGGGCTCTTCGGTCCATCACCATCGGAAGTATAGGCCAGGACTTGAAATTCATATTCTGTGTACTTTTGGAGCCCAGTCACAAGTCTGCTGAATGTCGATCCACTGGTAATATTGAAGAAGGAAAAACACCTTGCAAAGCACTTCTCTCTGTAAAACAGTTTAAACCCTGTAATGTTTCTTCCATGCCTGGCAAAGATTGGTGGTAACTGCCAGGAAGCTGTGATGCTGGTAGAAGAGCTCGTAGTCAAATTGAAGGCAGTAGGAGGTTGCGAGGGAACTGAAATGTTAAAGAACAACAGTAATGTGTTTTTATTCTCTGCTTATCATTGATGCGAAAGTGAATTAATCATCCTTGTGAACTTAGAGAGCATTAAATGTTCCCCAGAGCAGTGCGGAGGATCATCACCAGAGGGGACTGTGTATATGCATTAGATATACATTATTTATATCCTAAGCGTGAAGACGTGCTCTACGGATAGTTGGGCAAGCAATTGTGCTGCAATGGCAACATTCTAGCCTCCAGAATCTTCAGTGCACTTGCAATGTAAACAATCACATCACACACTGCATTATATCAAGTATGAATAAAAATATTGTAAGTACAACTTTCTTTCATTTAGCAAATGGAGAACCTGAAGGATCTCAGTAGAGTAGATGAGGTAAGGCTCAAAGAGAATTAAAGTTATTGATTGTCAAATTCTCTTATGGTGAGCTCTTTAATTATTTCAAAAAAATTCTCATCTTACTAAGGCTCTATCAATGCATTTGCGTTATTTACCAAGCGTGAGGTCGAGATGGCTGGATTTTGCTGAGTTTTTTTTCCTTTTTTTACATTGTTATGGACCGAGACGAAGTTGAGGTGAATAAAATGCGGAGAGAGAACGAAGTATAAGGACCTGAGTTCTCTTAACTCTTTTGGGAGATCGTTCCAGTGTTTCACAGATGCACATTTAAACAAAGACTGTCGCATTGCTGATGACATGGTTCTCCCTAAATCTGATAAGGTGGTATCCCTTAGAGATCTTTTGCGTACTTCTGATCGCTTGATCTACTAAATAATTCTTTAACTGATCTGGACAATGTTAATTTCAGTTTTAAATAAATACCTTTAGTTAGAAGTACTCCATAAACTTCTACTCTCAAAGCCTTCCAAATGTGGTATGTTGTTGGTTGAAAGCGGATAAACTTTGCACTTGAAAACTCCCGAAGACTGTTTTTAACGATGCCATTTTGGTTTGAGTTCCCGGGAAAGATCTATAGTTTGTGGTACAAATTTGAAATTATTGTATCAAAAATTTTCTTTATTCTACTGCATCATTTTCCACTATTACACATCAGCTATATCCATGTCTGTAATGGCTAATGCTATTGAAAGACTTAGTTTCGGTTTTTACAAAACTAACCCAGATCAGTATGTGACCCTGCATATCATATCTGGTAACTACCTTGGGGAGAGATACATGTAGTTTGTGAGAGATCATAATAAAAGAACTGGTGGTTCGACAACACACCGAAAAATAAGAGACACTTTCACAAAATGTTTTCTGCGTTCTTTGTTCTCGATTACATACTCCATTTTTTTGTAAACAACAACAATAAACTATAGAACATAATCCATCGGTTGTAAAAAATCGTTCACTGGGAATGACAATGGTGGAAAGAAAGACGAAACAAATAATATGACCTGATTAATCAGGCAGTTTTCTTTTTTTCTTAAAGGTTAGAAATTAAAGGAATAGTTTAACACTAAATTGTATGAAGACTTCATTTTGGAATCACACCCTGAGTGGGAACAGAATTTTCCATGATGTTTCCATAAAGGACAAAAGGCAATCAAGTTGGCTAAAGAAAAATTATTTTGTTCCTACATATACGCTCAGTTCCGTTGATACACTCCTCATCCTTTTCAATGACTACACAAAGATTAGTATTTCTGTGTGGTTAATAACTGTAGTTGATATCTCCTGTGTATTGTTCTAAACAGTTCCGTAAATCAAATGGTAAATTTAAGAAGTGATGGTCAGTAAGTCCACAAGACGTGGGCTAATTAACATTTAAATAGTATTGAAAATGAACTATGTTATTACATTTATACACTATACTATGTATACGCACATAAGTTTGTGCTTTTGCTGGAACGAATAATGTACATTCCAGACACATTTTGCAAATTACTTAAAAAAAGTAATTGAGACTGAGTCTTGACCAGGTACACACTTCTTTTGTGTCCCTCCTCTTGAATCAAATATTGAATCAGTGTTCTAGGACCCATATATTTTTGGCTGTTTTGATATGTTAATGTATCTGCGTATGACCTTCATATATACCGACCTTGTCAACATTGGTTTCTTGGTAGGTGACAGCAGTGATACCATCCATTGATAACTGAATCTTATAGTTTGTTGTCCACTCGCTTATACCATTAGCTCCTTGGGTAGCCACAGCACAAATAACGTACTCATACAGCAGGTCAATTTGTAGGAAGTCAGCAAGATTGGTCTTGGTCTCGGGTTCCCAACCCCGATTAGTTCCATTCAATCGACCAAAAGAGGGTTTAGACCTATGGTCATAATACGAGGAGGCAGAGAAGCTGCTGTCTGGAATTGTACCACCAGAGGCCAAACCAATGTCTTCTGAATCACAAGCTATAAGGTAATAATTTAAATTCAGCCTTCACACTTTTATGCAAAAACGTTGTAGCACCATTGCTTGAAGTTGACATGATCACAAGCACTTTAAAAGCTAGTTCTGACAAACCAGAAGAAATACATGGGTGTACCAATGAATGTAAGACACTGTACTTGCCCACTTAAAGGATGTGGTAAACCATGAGTGACGAGAATGCCTGAATGGATGCGCCCGAGACTTAAGAAAGCTCTGGAATGACAGAATAAAATAGCCATATCCTCAAGGGACACCGCCTAGTAATTTCCTGTGAGCCCCGCCAGCAAATGTTACAAATCATACACCAAGGATACATGGAAAAAGAAAAATGTCTTCTGAAAACAGTAGGTTGTCTATTTTAACCGGGTATATCAAGAGATATAAAGAAACTGACTGCAAACTGTGCCACATGTATAAAATTCTCCAAACAGCAACCGTAAGAGTAACTACAACTCCATGGAGTGCCTAGTTTTCCATAGCAGGAGCATGGATAAAATTTGCCAAACAAGGGATACCGGTTAAAAAGGGAATGGCAGATATTAGATCTGAGCCCGCGAAAAAGCGGTTTTGTTTAAAGATACGCGGAATCGAGGCACTTGGGCCAAAGGCTTTGAAAATTCTCAAAGGTATCACTGTATATTTCAAAACAACTCGCATTTTACGCTATTTTTTTACTTTTATCGACAATCTGAAGCATTCAAAAGGCAAAGATAGCAATGTTTAGACATTGCATTGCATTCGGATGCAACAACCGAGGCGATAAACCACACTGCAAACATCTTGGCCGGAAAGTCATCATCAATCGAGCGTCTTTCCTTCGGAGCCTTCCTTTTGGTTTTCTGCTCGGAGAAACTGAATATTGTCGGAACTGAGTCTGACTTAAAGACTAACTTTCCGGCCAGCATATGACTGGAAAAGTCTTCCTTTTCAAAATTTTCATTGCATAAAAGGAATTTTTACTTACGGGCGTGTTTTCCCGTTTGATCTTGACAAGCCAAGTCGCCAGAAGCTTCCTGATGCCCAGTGGCAGTGAATGCCACGAAAGATGCTTGGAATGTGGTTTGTCGCTCTGGTTGTTGCATCCAAACGCAATGATATGTCTAACCATTGCTATCTTTGCCTTTTGAATGCTTTAGATTGTCGATAAAAGTAGAAAAATAGCATAAAATGCGAGTTGTTTTGACATATACAACGTTACCTTTGAGAATTTACCAAGGCTTTGACCGAAGTGCCTCGATTCCGTACATCTTTAGACAAAACCGCTTTTACGCGGGCTCAGGTCTAATATCTGCCATTTGTTGTATTCTGCATCGGCAGAGCTGAATAATGAATGCTACGTCAGTGGGTATGCGGTCAACAACGCGGGCTCAAATGTCCTAGCTCTAAAATTTAGCGAAATTACCGGAAAATAATATGGGCTGACCTTTAAAACCGAGGAACTCTTTTTTCGTCGAAGGCACTTTCCTATCTCCAAAGGTTTAAAGGAGAAAATTAATTTGTGAAAATTTTTAGGGGGTGTACCAAGTTTTTGGAGGTTGTTCTCTAAAAGAAAAGCAGCAAGGAAAACGACGCCTCGAAGCAACAGAATAGGAAATTAACCATGCGAATGACTCAAAATTCATGTTTCTGCGGCAAAACCTAGCGCATGCGTATACGTTATTCAGCTCTGTCTTCTGCATCTACCTTGCAGCGGACGACTCCAGCGCTCGCAAACTATACAGTGGAATCAAGAACGTCTTCGTCATCGACAAAACGTCCAGAAACAGCAACTCAACAAGATGCTATGAACTACTAAAATTAGAACTGTTGGGGAACTGCTTAAATTAGTAATTTTCTGACTAGGTGTTTTGAATTGTTCAGGCACGTTTCATTATCTTGAAATCCTTTTGCGAATCTTGTGTTAGATCACATTTTTATTTTTACATTCTGTGTGATGTGCCCTTGACCGACGGTTAGTGGTGTTTAAGTTCGTCCTTGACCTTGCTCAGTGTCCTCATCGGGGAGTTTTGTTTAGGTTTTAGTTCTCGAAGATTGGTTGTTTCTCAAGTACTTTGTTGTTCATTTCGAATGCCTTGTGATATTTGTTTGGTTAGCATTCTAAAGAAACCATCGAAATTAGACTTATGAACTCTTTTACAGACTACATTTACGACATATCATTGAAGCCTTTTAAGATTCTCATTGCAATGCACTCAGCTTATCAGTCTTTCCTATTAGTGTTTATAGCCTTGCTGTTTATCACACCCAATAGACTTTCAGGGTGGAGATGAAAACACATTAGATCTACGGTGTTACGCATGCGCCGCGGGAAGCGTCAGCACAGGGCCTGTGGATTTCAGAGTTGCTTTCGTTACTTTTTAAATAAGAGGTAAGTGAGGACTAGGAGAAGGCTACGAGCATCTCTACACAAATTATGTTTGGTGATTCAAATATTCAAAGAAATACCTTTTATAAGATCTGTAGATCAACTCTCACTTCAACTTAGTTGCCCGATACTTCATAACCATTAATTTGCATTCTTTACCTCACAAAAATTACAATTGGTCAGAAATTAAAGACATTCAGATTTTTTAACATTTCATAATGAAGTTTTGAGTACAATAATAAACTTAAATTCAGCCCTTTCCTTTCAGCTATTCCCCTCTGACTTAAATTTAGTTTCCTGGGTGAATATTTATTGACAATTAATTCCATGTTGAGCAAAGGAATAACAGGTTGTCATGGGTGTCTTGGTGTTTTTGATTTCTGAGATTTTTGAACACTTATCTAAATAACAAGTATACGTCATCAAAATAGACTAAAAAAGTAAAGATTAGAAGAGTATCTTAGACTACCCTACAATATAATAATAGTGATGATAATAATAATAATAATAATTACGGTTATAATAATAATAATAATTGTTAAGGCTAAGCAGGTTAAGCAATGGTGGGGTGAGTTGAGAGAGGCTGGTCCGACTCTTGGATACAATCCTAACTCAAAGAAATGCTGCCTTGTTGTTAATCCGGATAAGGAAGACCACGCGAAGGAAATGTTTGCAGGGATTGGTATGAACATCACTACCGAGGGACACAAACACCTTGGCGCTGCGCTGGGCTCTCGGTCTTATCTTAAGCAATATGTGGGTGGAAAGGTAGAAGAGTGGGTGAAAGAAGTGACGAGGTTGACGGAGTTTGCAAGATCTCAGCCACAAGCTAGTTACGCCGCATTCACATTTGGGCTTCGACACCGGTGGAAGTATTTTTATGAGGACACTGCCGGATATTGAGAACCTACTACAGCCTTAGAGCATGCAATCTCGGATGTATTTATACCCTCGCTCAGAGAACGCAACTGTTCTGATGAAGAGCGTAGTCTGGTACCATTACTGGTGCGTATGGGAGACCTTGGGCTCATTAATCCATCTGATACTGCGGATGCGGATTATTTAGCGTCTGTTACGGTAAGCGCTCCACTCGTAAGCAAAATAGAGGCGCAATCCCACGAGACCTCAGAAGAGGCCGAGGTACAACGACTGGTATACGTCACCTGGAAAGAAAAGGATGATAGACTAAAAGAAAAGCTCGAGAAGGTGAAGGCCTTATTACCAGACAAGACACAAAGAACCGTAGACCTGGCCTGTGAAAAGGCGCATCCAACTGGCTTACAGTTATTCCTCTCAAAGACATGGATTTCGATCTCAACAAGCGGGAATTTAGGGACGCTGCGAGGCTTCGATATGATTGGCCAATACCCTATAATCCATCAGTATGCGTTTGTGGGAGCTTGTTTACAGTGGATCACGCAATGATCTGCCATCGTGGAGGCTTAGTCATTAAGCGTCACAATGAAATACGCGATCTAAAGGCAGAGCTGCTCGACATGGTTCGTTACGATGTGCAGGTGGAACCGGCTTTACAACCTATTACAAGCGAGTAATTTCCCAGAGGGACTAATCAATCCCCTAACGCACACCTCAACGTCCACTGTAGGGGTTTCTGGGGGGGACAGAGGGCTGCTTTTTTCGATATAAGGGTGTGTCATCCCAATACAGACTCATACAGAGATCTTAGCCCCAAGCAGATTTACAGGATTCATGAAAACGAAAAGAAGCGAAAATACAACTCCCGTGTAACAGAAGTAGAGCAAGGCACTTTCACCCCACTGGTATTTACAACGACGGGGGGGATGGCTGACGAATACCTGAGGTACCACTAAGATTAGCAGAGCTATTATCTGCAATAAAGCAAGAGAGCTACGCCACAACAATTTCATGGGTCAGAGCGAAAGTGTCCTTTGCAATTTTGCGGAGCGCGCTCCTATGTCTAAGGGGATCTAGAACCCCGAGAAGGAGAAACTTAGACATTAAGGACAGGGATCTGGAAGTAGAGAAGGGTCGAGCAAGACTTCCTTAAACTCATCAGTTATAGACTATTTTATTATTTTTATAGTAAATTTTTCTAATTATTCTTTTGCGTTGAACTTTTGAAGACTTTGTATTCCTTTGTCAAGAGACTTAAAGTAAGATATAGACTACCTTAAGAGCACATTATAATTTTATTATTCATAGCCATATAATTATGTAGTTTAGGTTAGTGATATTTTTCCTTAAAAGGAGAATTGTAACTTGCAAGATTTTTTTTATTTTTTTATACACTTTCATGTTAGATTCAATAAAAGTTATTTCTCATTAAACATAATAATAATAATAAAAATAATGATATGACGAAAGCAATTATGTAAAAATATATAAAAGTTTCGAACTCACTTGACGCTTTTTCTACTCCAAACACCTCTAGTCTCATGCACACCCCACCCTGGTGTGTTTGTGGCAGAAATCGTAAGAATCTTGTTAACACTCCATAAACAACATGCTTCACTTCTGAGTTCCTGTTGTCATTTCCTCTTAGAAACTTGAAACAAACAAATATTCACATATCATCAATAACTTTTTTTCGAAATTAGAAAAAATAGCAGGGTATAAAAATATAAACAGTGCAGATACCATAAGATAAACAATTAATAAGGAAAAGATTTCGATATCATTTTAATTGTAAGATACTCTATATCGTCAGACTTAATAATCCATGTTATACAAATTATCTAAGTGTACACTGGTCATTTTTTTGAGCAGTTATGTCTCATACTGTTTTTCCTATATACCTTGACATGTCCACCTTCCTTGTAGTCTGTCCAAGTTGTTTCATCAGTGGATATTTGTAGTGTGTAGTTCTTCACCCACTGATCTGCTTGAGAATTCCCTTGAGTAGACACAGCACAGATGATATGTAGTGATTTTAGATCAATCTGTAGATATGGGTTAGTGTCACTAGTTTCTGCACACCATGATGATCCTGATGTGTAGTTCAGTCGACCATTCGTGGCTGGAGAGCGGGCACTTTGTTCAGTAGAGGCAGTTATGTCACTATCTGGAATTGTCCCACTTCCCACTCCAAGATTTAAATCAACACAGGCTCCTACAAAGAAAAAATTACATTTGCATTTAACATAATCATAACAATTATTGTAACAGGTATAATGAGTTGGATGTGGGAAGCACGTGGATGCCTTAAATCTTTTTATAAATTACCTCTGATAAAAGGTTCATGTCACAGATAGTTAACAACTATTTACCGAAGTGGTGGTCGATGGTGGTAAACAGGAAAGTAAATTAACTCTTCTATACCTGCAAAGATAACAAGTGCCTATCTTTAACGCTATCCCCAAATTAGTATATACTAATAATATATAATAATATACAGTGCTGGTATCCCTCCTACAGTAGACAATAGCCACAAAAAAATCTGTCGCGCATGAAATATCGTTTCTTTACAAGTCAAGCCTAAAAGAACTTAACAGAAAGTTTGGATCGTTCATTGCGGCCATTTCCTTACTGCTTATATTTTGCCTGTTCCACAGTGTATTACCGTGGCATATTTTTCACGTTATCATGACCTTATTCAGTTAAATGACATTGTACTAGAATAATTGTTTTATTAAAAACTCCCCCAAGAAATTATTATTTTGTAAGAAAAAACCGGATTTTTTAGCTCCCTTTTGATTTTAAGCTGACGCGTACGCTTGCCATATTTGTAGATTATGGTATATTGGCTCATATACCATAATGGCTAAGCCAATAAAAAGTCTTGAATTGCATTATCCAATGATCCAGTTTTTAATAATAAATAATAGTTAATTCACACCTCATTAAGCATACAGTTCCTTCATGAAAAGAAAAACAACGGCGAAAACAATCGACTATCTTTGGCCT